AGGCAGGTGACCTTACCCTTAATCTAACTGTGAGCTCCTGGATCATAGGTCCAAGCTCAACCACTGAGCCGCTGGTCGGGCACGTGCCCCTTCTGTTTAGCTCAGGGGGAAAGGTCTGGAGATGGGGGAGGGGAGTCTGGCCAGGAGCCCCATTTCAATCAGGAAGTCAGGTGGAGGGAGCAGAGAATGGGCTCAAGTCTGCTCTGTGGGTCCTTGGGCCTCACTCTCACCTCTATGGCCTTAGCTTCTGCCCCTGAGAGACAGCATGCTCACGTGGCCTACTGACAATTTTGGTGACATTTGCAAACTCATAGATGCCAGATGCGAGTTCCTTGATCATAGACGATGTGACCTCATGGCCCCAAGGCCAGATAAGTCCTTGCATCGCTCCCAGCTGACCGCCCAGGTGTCCTGCAAGGTCTGGGCCCTGAGAGCAGGCCAACTTACCCAACACCCTCCGCCCGCAGCTGCGGAGCCGCTTTGGGGACGTGTTCAGCCTGCAGCTGGCCTGGACGCCCGTGGTCGTGGTCAACGGGCTGGCGGCCGTGCACGAGGCGCTGGTGCTCCACAGTGAGGACACCGCCGACCGCCCACCCTTGCCCACCTACGAGCATCTGGGTTTCGGGCCGCGCGCGCAAGGCAAGCGGAGGACCGGGCCGACCGCGGCCCAGCGGGCACGGGGCCCGCAGACACCCGCAGCCCACGCGGAGGAGGGCGGTGGACTCGCTGTGCTCTCGGCCAATAGGAAGGGGCGGCAGGTGGAGGGGGAGCCTGAGCCCAGGGTGGGAGGGGGTGGGCGAGGCCTCACGGGGACAGGGCGGGCCAGGCCGCAGCGAGCGGCACTGGGACGAGGGGCGGAAAGGAGGGAAACCGAACCGGTGTGGGCGGGGCGAGGGCGGGCAGGACCTGCCACGAGAGGGAGGGAGCTGGCGAGCAGTGTGGGCGGACAGAGGGGGCCCGTCTCCAGCCGGAAGCGGGTGTCAAAGTTGGGCGAATGGGTGGAGACAACTCCTCTGGGCGGGGCGGGGGCGGGGCCTGCATAGACGGGGGCGTGGCTGGTGGGCGGGGCCGGGCCTGGACCCGCTCCGGGTGGAGGAGGGAGAGCCCGCGAGCCACGTGTGCGGCAGGGGCGGGGCCAGCGCCCGCCTAGCCGCGCCCACTCCCCGCTCCCAGGACTGGTCCTCGCGCGCTACGGGCACGCGTGGCGCGAGCAGCGGCGTTTCTCCGTGTCCACCCTGCGCGACTTCGGCCTGGGCAAGAAGTCCCTGGAGCAGTGGGTGACCGAGGAGGCCGCCTGTCTCTGCGCCGCCTTCGAGGACCAGGCCGGTGAGTGCGGAGGCTGAGGGGGAGGCGGGGCGGGGGCTGGGGACAAGAGGAGGGACGCGACCCCCCCGCTCTGCACCCCCTCCCCTAGGGCGCCCCTTCAGCCCCAGCGCCCTCCTGAACAGAGCGGTGAGCAACGTGATCTCCTCCCTCATCTATGGGCGCCGCTTCGAGTACGAGGACCTGCGCTTCCTCAAGCTGATGGACGCGATGCAGGAAGGGTTGAAGGAGGAGTCGGGACTCCTGCGCCAGGTGCGGGAGTCCTGGGGCCCCCTAGCCCGCCATGGGCCTCCTGGGAGGAGGGTTATGCACAGGGCGCTGGAGAAGGGCATTCAGAAGGGGCCTCTGCTAGAGCACAGGCCTGGAGGGGAGGGAACACAGACACCGCGAGGGAGAGGCGCGCCAGGGCCACACCCCCAGGAGAGCCAGGGACCTGTGCCTCCCTCATCTGAAGCCAGGACTGGGAGAATTCAGGTTTACCTTCGGGCGCCCAGGCCAAGGGAGAGGGTGGGGTCGAGGCCCGCATGTAGGAAGGAGGCAGGGCAAGGTGGCAACCCCTTGGGACCTGACTCGTCAAGAGGACACCTGGGCACAGGAAGGCCCGCCCAGGACCCAAACCTGTGCCCGTCCAGGTGCTGGAATCGGTCCCTGTGCTGCTGCGCATCCCGGGGCTGGCTGCCAAGGTCTTCAAGGGGCAGAGGGCCTTCATGGCTCTTCTGGACGAGCTGTTGGCCGAGCACAAGATGGCCCGGGACCCAGCCCAGCCACCCCGAGACCTGACTGACGCCTTCCTGGATGAGGTGGAGAAGGTGAGGGGCAGCTGCCAGGGATGGGGGCCGGGGCTGTGGGTTGTGCCATGAGGTAAGCCCAGGGGTTGGGCCCCCAGGCTGCTGGGTGTACTGTGGGAGCCACTGGGGGGCTTCCTCCCTCTGCCCCTGAGCCCGCCCTCTGCATGGCCAGGCCAAGGAGGACCCCAGGAGCAGCTTCAACAATGAGAACCTGCGCATGGTGGTGGCCGATCTCTTTTTCGCTGGGATGGTGACCACATCGACCACACTGGCCTGGGCCCTCCTGCTCATGATCCTGCACCCGGATGTGCAGCGTGAGCCCGGCCTGGGGGTCGGGTGGGATGGGGGAGGCAGGAAAGGGTCAGCCCGAGGTCCCTGAGCTGAGTTTGGCTACGCAGAGGCTGGGTCCTGACTCTGAGGTCAGAGTGACTTCCTTCTCCACATGGGCCCAGCCCCCGATTCCCCCCTCTCAGGCCAGAGCCCAGCCCCCACCCCCAGCCCTACCCCCGGGCCTGACCCCTGTGGGCATGCTTGTCTGTCCAGACCGGGTCCAAAAGGAGATCGATGAGACAATAGGGCAGGCGCGGCGACCAGAAATGGCGGACCAGGCCCGAATGCCCTTCACCATGGCTGTGGTCCACGAGGTGCAGCGCTTTGGGGACATCATCCCACTGGGCGTGCCCCACATGACCTCCCGCGACATTGAACTGCGGGGTTTCCTCATCCCCAAGGTAGGCCTGTGGCTGCCCCACCCCCGCTCAGCCACACCCACCACCTGTGCTCTGACATGGCCACAGACCAGGACCCTAGCCCCGCTCACCGCCCAGCACTGACTGTCCTGTCCGAGGGGCGTGGGGGTGAGCGCAGAGGCAGGGCCCCCGCTGGGTGGGAAGACAAGCTCAAGTGTTGGAAGAGCCCCTGGGAGCAGGGACGGGTGGCAGGGAGGCCCCATGAAAGGCAAGTCACTGGGCCCCACGGGGACAGGGAGGTGGCCGGGCCTGGCGTGGTCCAGACAGTGTGCGCCCGTGAGTGTTTGGTGGCTGGGTCCCGGCATCCCCCGCCCAGACCCACCCACGTGAGGTGTCTCCTGCCAGGGGACCACGCTCATCACCAACCTGTCGTCAGTGCTGAAGGACGAGACCGCCTGGAAGGAGCCCTTGCGCTTCCACCCCGAGCACTTCCTGGACGCCCAGGGCCGCTTTGTCAAACAGGCGGCTTTCATGCCCTTCTCGGCAGGTGCCTGTGGGGGCCCAGCCTGCTGTCCCCCCCGAGGGAGCCTGGAGGCTTAGGGCCCAGGCGCAGGCTCATGCCTCACCCGCCCCCCCTCACAGGCCGCCGCTCATGCCTCGGGGAGCCCCTGGCCCGCATGGAGCTCTTCCTCTTCTTCACCTGCCTCCTGCAGCGCTTCAGCTTCTCGGTGCCCGCTGGGCAGCCCAGCCCCAGCGACCACAGGACCTATGGCCTCCTGGTGGCCCCACCCCCCTACCAGCTCTGTGCTGTGCCCCGCTAGAAGGGGAACCACACCCAGCCGCTCCTCAGCTGGGAGCCCTGATGTGCAATAAACCAGCCTGGTGGCTGCAGCCTTACTTTGAGTCCCACCCAGGCCCCTTAACCATGCTGGCAGCGACGGGGCCTCAGCAGCCTCCCCAGGCCAGGCCTGCCCTGCCTGGTCCCTCCTCACCTCACATTTGGGCCCGTTTGAGAGGTGTTATACTGAGGCTCAGAAAATGAGAGCTGACCCCAGTCGCCTGTGGAGCCCAATCCTGGCTGCTTGTGTGGGTCCCAGTCTCTGCACAGGTTCCAGCCCCTGCTGGCCCGTGGGAAAGGGAGGCCTTGCTCAGCCTGATGCTGACTCTCAGGCCCAGCAGCACCCGCCCTGCACCACAGGCAGCAGCTCAGCCAACACCAGCAAGTCTGCTCCCCCACTGACACCCCAAAAGGTGGGGAACTCAGGAAGGCTGGGAAGTGATGTGCCGGGCTAACGACCCCGCTCAGTAATGGGGTGCAGAGCTCTCCCTGGGAACCCTAATGGCAGCCCTGGAGCCAGCCCCCTCCCTGGGCCTCTGCGTCACCCCAACATTGAATGAGCCGCATTCCCTGGCCCCTCAGGTCTGCTCCTGGCCCAGCTGCTGCTGGAGAGAGCTGTCTCCTGGGCCGTTTGCCGCTGGAGAGACTCATGTGGCTCCAACCCCGGGCACAGTCCTCGGAGTGGCCAGACCAGGCAGGGCGCACAGGAGGCTGGGCTGGGGGCAAGGACTGGGCTCCTCTGGGCGGCAGACATGTCGCAGGGACAGGGGTCCAACCGTGACCCCTGCCACAATGGGGTGGCCACAGGAAAGGAGGCCACAGAGGGACCTTGGCGGATGACAGCCTGACTCTAGTCCTTGTTGTCACACCACTGTGTGGGCCTGGCTTCTATTTCCCTGCAGCCACTGAGGAGAGTGCACCAGATGGCCGCTGGGTCCCGACTTCCTGCGCTGATGCCGGGGCTGTGACATTTGCCTGCCACCCATCACCTGTGTCCACTCCCAGATGGGGCCTGGACGGAGGCTTCCAATGATGGCTTACTCGGGTCCTGGGAGGACCCTTGTGCATTTAGCGAACAGCTTAGGGACCCCAGATGCTCAGGGCAGAAGCCCCCCAACGCAACAGCCTCACGGCACCACTGACGGGTTCCACCAGTGTCCTCTAGATGCCCTCACGACAAGCTACCCCACTCCCCGCATGCAGGGAGCTTGGCCTGTCCCTTGACATGGAGCCCAGGTCAGCAGGGCCCCTTCGGCCTCCCCAGAGTACCCACTACCGAGTCAGGCGTGGTGCTTGCTGGGACAGTGTACGCGGGCCACACTGGGTCTGCAGGGCGCGAGGCCTGCGAGGAGGCAGCGGGGCCACAGCGGCATCACCTGTGCGTTTATTGGATTGTCACTCGTGCTCCTGAGTGTCAGGGCTGTCAGAGACCGGGAACCAGCCCAGCCAGAGCTTCCTCAGGAGCTGGGGGGCCCACCCGCCAGGCCTTTCCTTCTGGCTCTGCACCCCAGAGGCCCCTACAAACATAAGGAGGCAGGCCCTGCAGGTCGCCTGCCAGAGGAACCTTCCTCAGGGCCAGGGCAGCGCGATCTGATGGGGCAGCACTGACACCAGGGTTCCTCCCATCCACGTCCCTGGGGAGTGGGCTGAGGAGGGTCCTTCAGGGCTCCCTGGGCCAGGAGGGTGTGGGCTCCCTGGGGGCTCCTCGGGGTCACAGAGGGGAGGGAGGGAGGCGGGGTGGGCTGGGCTCTCTTACCAGCAGGAGGTAGAGCCAGCTCCTTTGGGACCTTCTTATCTCCCTGGGAAAGAAGGGCATGGTGGGATGAGACAGGCTCTACACTGTGTAGATGGGGAAACTGAGGCCTCGCTACAAGAGAAGTCAGGGAGGCCAGGACTCACACGGCCTCTGCTCCCCTCAGCTCCACAGAGAGCTGCTCTACTGAGATGCAGTTTGGCCCCGTCATGTTGGGGGTGCCCCAGCCCCCGCTCCATCCCCACAGCCTGCCCACCGCCCGGCACTGCTTGGGGTACCAGGCCTCCTTACCTCCCAGCCTGGGCTCCCTGCCACCTCCTTCTCCTCAGCCACTTCCTTTCCAGCAGGAGTGGGGCTGGCTGCTCCCTGGCCTGGGACCCTCCCCTGCCCCTCCCGGTCTTTCTCCCCCTGAGACAGGATGTCCGTCTCCTTGGGGGCAGCATCATTCAGTCCGCCCGGGGTCTCAGGGGCTGTGGCCTGCCAAGAGAGAAGTGGGCATCACACAGGCCCGGAGGCCCCCAGTACGCCTCAGCCCTCCCATTTCCCACACTTTCTCCAGGGAAGTCCTTCCCTATCAGCTCCAGAGGTGGGTGGCGGGGCTGTGTTTCCTGGAGGGACCCTGCCCCCACCCCTGGGCCTGCAGGCCCTGAGCCAGGCACCCCTGGGCCTCATGGAGCTGATGGGAGAGCCCCGCCCAGGCCCTTCCAGGGGGGCCTCTTACCTTGGAGGCCTGCTTCTTCCCACTCCTGACTCTGCGTCTCTACAGGGGGAAACAGTCATGCGTGCTGGGAGTCGCCCCCCTCCCACGCCCACCTACCAGGCCTCTCATGGTGTCTACCCAGGACAGGGGCCCAGGACAGCCGCCCCCCTCAGGGGAAGAAGAGTTCCCAGCCTCACCCACCTGAATGGCCGCGGGGTAGCACTTATCCATCAGCCCCCACAGCGGCCTTAAGGTCTCTCCTATGGGCTGCATGACAAGGAGAGAGAGAAGGGAGGCGGCTGAGGGCACAGCTGAGGTGACTGTTAGTGGGCAGCACTGACCCCTAAAGACCCCAGGGACCTAGGGAACTTCAGCATGACTGATGCCTCTAGGAAGATAAACAGCTCATGAACGGAACAAGAACAGGCTCTAAAACAGAAACGTTCAAATATCAACCTCTAAAGCTTGAAAACCCAAACTGTGATATGATTATGGGAATGGAAAACCCAATCAAAGTCCAGAAGATAAAGTTGAAAAAAGCATTTCCCAGCAAGAACAGAGAGGATATCAGGAGGACCAACAGCTAAACCATGGATCTTCCTGAAAGAGCAGAGGCAACAAACTAGGGTGACAGGAGATATTCTAAATACATTCTTTTTTAAAAGTCTTTTTAAAAATATTTTTTTATTGATCTCAGAGAGGAAGGGAGAGGGAGAGAGAGATAGAAACATCAATGATGAGAGAGAATCATCGACCAGCTGCCCTGCATGCCCCTTACTGGAGATCAAGCCCACAACCCAGGCATGCGCCCTGACCAAGAATCGAACCGTGACCTCCTGGTTCATGAGTCGACACTCAACCACTGAGGCACACCTGCCCTGGGCGTACATTCCTTTTTATCAAGACAATTCCCAAAGATGAGGGACAGGAGTTTTCAGGAGAGAAGGAATCACCAAGTGTCCATGACAATAGATGAGGAAAACCCACCCTAGATGCCTTCAGTACATTTCAGAATACTGAGGACACAGAGAAGAACCAACAAGCTTCCAGAGATTCAAAGGAAGAAGTCTGTTCTAAGAATTCAATTTCATCAGACTTTTAAACACCAACATTTGAAGCCAGAAGGCAATGAGGATCTTCAGAATCGGTGGGAAAGTTATTTCTAGTCTAGAATTCCATGCCTAGCCACTCGCTCAGCCGAGTGTGTGTTGAGGCCTTTCAGACATGTAATATCACAAGACCACCCATCACGGAGCCCCGGGGCTGCGTCCCACCGAGGGCTCCCACACGAGGTGTGCAGCGCCTCAGTGGACCCAGCATCCATTTGTGCTCTGACCGGGGCTGGGAGAGGGGGCTTCTGCCACAGGTTCTTGGACTTGGGACATCAAAGAGGCTGTGCAGCCCCAGGCAGGAGTCCTGCTCAGCACCACGCTGCTCACATGAGTGTCGAACCACATTCCAGGGCTACGCACACGCATTAGGATCACCTGCTCCTCTGGGTTATCCAGGCCACTGCCACAGCCCTGAAGTGACCACATAGCCAGCTCATGAGGGGTGGGGCTTACGTTTTGACTCTTTGCGAAAATAGGAAATTTCTCTAGAATCCACACCGTGCGCACGTACACACACACACAGACACAGTTGACCATTTGAGGGCAAGCAGTATGACCCCAGGGAGCCCACCCCAGCCTCTAGGACTGAGCGAGGTGCCTACCGGTGATGATTCCCCAGCAATCGCATGGTCAGGAGCTGTTTTCCCCACAGACTCCTGGAAATAATAGTATACCATTCCTGCAAATGGGTGAAGGAAGACTAGTTAGAGCACTGAACAGAGATGTCATTATTTTAAAGTGTCATATCCCTTGACACTGTGAAATAAATTAGGTACTAATTTAAAATGTGTGAGGGGATAAAGTCTTTGAAAAGGTGTGCAAGCAAAAATGTGAAAGTCATTGCGGTGGGACTGTATTAGGTTGTGTGGGCTTTTGGGTTTGCGGGTTCTGTGTGCATTTTTGCGGGGGGCAGAGTATGAGCTTCACAGTTAGGCATGGGTTTGAGCGCCACTCCACCCTGAGGGTGCAGAGGGGAGACGTGGAGAAAGGCAGCCAGCCCCTGGGGAGCCAGGCCTCGGGGAGCCCCGCTGGGCAGCTGGAGGCTGGGGGCTCTGAGGGGAGAGCCAACTCCCGGGTCCTGACGTCCTCCCCAACTCACCGCAGCACAGGCCTTACCTGCAAGAATGAAGATCTGCACTACGTACAGGGCCCTGTAGAGCCTGGAAGGAAAGCAGAGTGAGTGTGAGGCGGGGTCTCCCCTGCCCTCACCAGTGGGTACCAGCTTCCCCCCAATCCAGGACCTGCCCTACCGGGGTGTGTCCCGTCACCACTGTGGGCGAGGAAATCCCTCAGCTGCCTCAGGGCTCAGCCCGGGCTCCCTGCTGACTGGCTGGCACAACTCTGCCTCTGCCTCCTTCCACAGCCAGGCTTGGCGCCTGGAGCAGACAAGGAGCCCGGGCCCCACCCTTTGTTCCCTTCCTCACTGTACATGCGAGCCCATCGAGCCTCTCCAGCCAGAAGGCAGGCCCTGACCTGCCTGGGCCTCACAGGTGATCATCCAGTGCTGGGTTAGCTCTTCTCCCGCAGCCCTCCAAGCCCTCCCTCCTCTGGACTGACAGATCCCACACCCGGGGTAGAAATCATGTTCCAGGTCACCTCCCTCTTCTGTGACCCCTCCCTTGGGACAGCAGAGCATTTTGGCATTGCTAACATCAGTGGTTCTCAACCTGTGGGTCGCGACCCCTTTGGGGGGTGGAACGACCCTTTCACAGGGGTCGCCTAAATACATCCTGCATATCAGATATTTACATTACAATTCATAACAGTAGCAACATTGCAGTTATGAAGTAGCAATGAAAATAATTTTATGGTTGGGGGTCACCACAATATGAGGAACTATATTAAAGGGTCGCGGCATTAGGAAGGTTGAGAACCACTGGCTAAAATGATGGCTCCCTGCCTGCGGACACACACACATACATACACACACACACACACACACACACACTCATGGCCCACCTACCAGGACCAGGCCCTCCACCCCGACTCTGAGTCCCAGAGACACTCTAACAGTCAAGGAAAAGTTATAGAGAACCCTGCTTTCCCTTCCTCTTGGGCCCAAGTGGGGGTTCCCCTGCCTGGTCATTTGGGACATGGTAATAGGGTGCACCCAAACCTTACCTCTCCTTCTGGCAGCATATACCAAACACCATTTTCAGTCTAAGGAGAAAGGATAGGCAACAGTCAAGGCATCACAGGCCCGGGGCCCCAGTGTTCCTGGACTCCGTGGCCTGCAGGAGTCACAACAGGCCAGAGGCAGCCAGGGGACAGCAAGGACCTCCACGGGCCAGGCTCAGCCAGAGGACGGCCTGATGGTCAAACTAAGGAGGGGGACTTCCAGGAGCTTGGGAACTGCTCAGAAATTTCTCCCAAGAGCTCCAAAGGGAAGATGGTTTTTGTGCCTCAGAGCTGGGAAGGGAGGTCCCAGGGAAAACAATGGGAAAGGGGGTGGGCTAAGACGAAGGAGAGAGGTGTAGGTCTATTGAACATTTAGCATAAAATGTCCCCAGGTGTATGTGGTGAACGATAACCGTAAATAATAATGATTTAAAACACTTTAAAGTATTTTCTGGGTTACAGAGCATTTGGGGAATAATTTGGGGAGCACTGAGGGCGATTCCCCAGCTTCCTCAAACTATTCTGTCTGGAACCCCCATCAGTGTCAGCATTCCCGACAAACTGGCACCATGGCAAGTCAAGGTCTCCAATGTGAGCTGGACCCTGGATGAGGCCAGTGAGCTCCGCCTCCCGAGGCAGCTCCCATTCTCCACAGGGACCGTTTCAGAATCTTCTAAAGATTTAAACCTTCACAAGATGCGAGCTCCCTTCACCTTCTGCCACCAAACCCTCCCATTCATTCTCTGCTTCTCACAGGCCAATTCCTCCTCCAGGGAGGGGCTGCCCTCCCCTCTGAGATCGCCCCCTCTGTGCTGCATTCCATCTGGTCGTCTCACAACCTGGGCGTTTGGGGTCTCCTCTCTCATATATTCAGCTTTTCCTTCTCTAATGGCTCCTTCCATCAGCCTTTAAACACATCACTCATCTCTTCCATTAAAAAAAAAGCCCCTCTCTCTGAACCCACAACCCTTCTCAGTGAGGGTCCTAATTGGCCCCTCCCCTTCACATGGGTCTCCTGGAGAGAGCCGTCCACGCCCCACAGCCCACCTCTATCTGTGTCTGACCCCACAAGTTCTTGAAACCCCTCTCACCAAAATCACCAACATGCTCCTGGGCACCAAATCCAGGGGCCCCTCCAGGCCTGGCTCACTTCATCTCCGCAGGGCGCTACAGCACCCTGGGGTCCCTGGGGCACCTCTGGGAATACTACTGGCGGGGTCTCCGGCATAAGCTTTGCTAGTCATGTGTATAACTATTGTGAGCCAAGCTCTCAGGCTTTTTCAGAGAGGAGGTTTGGAGAAGGGAAGGAGAGAAAATGAGTCCTGAAGGAGAGGAGAAGGGGCAGGCCAAGTAGGAAGGGAAGCCCAAAAGGTAGGCTAGGAGTCGCAAAGACAATTTTTACCTGCTTAGGATGCTTACTGCCTTTGAGCCACTTACCAAATACGCCAACCTTGACCTTTCCTTTGACCATGGCAGTGTTCAGGCAGCCTGCCCGCCTTTCCTCTGAGAAGGGCACTGAGCCGGCTAAGGCTAGGAGTCCAGAATACAGCCCCTCCCTTTCGCAGGGAGAGTGATCTCTGTGTGTGACATCACATCTTAGGGGGCTTTATGACAGGACAGCCGCTCCAACCTGGGCCAGTGCAGGTGGTCAGCTGCCTCAGGGCGGCTTTCCATCCCCACCAGTCAGCCAGCACCTTTGTGGATATCTCTCTGGTTCCATTCAACGCCATCAACGCTGTACAAACACACAAAGGCGTGAGATTCAGTCTTGTCACATAATACAATAAGCACATTTTCTGGATCAAAAACAAGAACACAGCCTGACAATTTCTAAGTGTTACCCAATCATCTGATCAGTGCCTGCTGAGCTTCCCTTTGGGGCCAGGAATAACGCCAAGGGCACAGAAAGGTAACAGGACACAGAGCCTGCCCTTGGGGAGCTGGAAGACATCAAATAAACATCTACCATCCCCAAATTACTGTAAATGTCGCTAAGTAATAATTACAAAACTATGGATGGTTAAACTAACAAATGCCGAGTTCCACGTACAGATGAAACATTAAGATAAACCATAAAACAAGTCTCAGTAAATTTTAAAAGATTAGTTATTTCAAGTAAGTCCTTTGACCACAATGGAATTAAATTAGAAATCAGTAACAGAAACTCCCTGGAAAAATCCCCAAATATTTGGAACTAAACAACATACCTTTAAATAACATATGGGTAAAATTAAAAGTCAAAAGGACCCTGGCTCAGCTGGTTAGAGCATCATCCTGATACGCCAAGGTTGCGAGTTTGACCCCTGATTAGGACACATACAACAATCAACCAATGAATGCATAAATAAGTGCAACAATAAATCAATGTTTCTCTCTCTCAAAAATCAATGAATAAATAAATTTTTTAATTCTCATTATGATGGGGAAAATAAGACTTTTTTGGGGGGGCGGGGGCTAGCAATCTGAATTTGTGCCAGTAGCCTAATATACATTCTTGATAACCTATAATTAAGTCACTGCCTCTTTCCCAGAAACTGGTCTTGCAAGACCTGTTACCTAAATGCTCACATCTCACAGAGGCCATAAACCAGTGGTTCTCAACCTTCTGGCCCTTTAAATACAGTTCCTCATGTTGTAACCCAACCATAAAATTATTTTCATTGCTACTTCATAACTGTAATGTTGCTACTGTTATGAATCATAATTTAAATATCTGATATGCAGGATGGTCTTAGGCGACCCCTGTGAAAGGGTCGTTCGACCCCCAAAGGGGTCGCGACCCACAGGTTGAGAACCACTGTACTAGAGGCTCGATGCACGAAATTCGTGCACGGGGGTGGGGGTGGTCCCTCACCCGGCCTGCACCCTCTCCAAATCTGGGACCCCTCGGGGGATGTCTGACCACAGGAATCGGGCCTAAACCAGCAGTCAGACATCCCTCTCACAATTTGGGACCGCTGGCTCCTAACCGCTCACCTGCCTGCCTGCCTGATTGCCCCTAACCACTCTGCCTGCCTGCCTGCCTGATCACCCCTAACCGCCTCTGCCTCAGCTCCCATCACCATGGCTTTGTCCAGACGGAGGACCAGAAGATGTCCAGTCGACCCGGTCTAATTAGCATATCATCCTTTTATTAATATAGATAATTTACATACCATAAAATTTATCCTTCACCCATTTGAGTGTATAAGTCAGTGAATTTTAGTATATTTACAAAGTTGTGCACTAGCATCACAAACTAATTTTAGAGCATTTCCATCAGCCTAAACAGAAACTTCATGCTACAGTCACTCCTCATTTCCACCTCAGCACTTGACAACTATAATTTACTTTCTGCTTGTATACATTTGCCTTTTCTGAACCCTTCATAGAAATGGAATTATCTGATTTCTGCTATGTCTAGTTCCTTTCACTTAGCATGTCTTCAAGGTTCATTATGGCTGAAGAATATTCCATTGTATGAATGCACCATATTTTGTTTATACACTTTTTTCCTTGTCCATCCAGTTGATGGACTTTTGAGTTGTTTCTATTTTGGGCTATCATGAATAATGCTGCTATGAACATGCACATACAAGTGTCTGTGTGGACAAATGTTTTTATTTTTCCTGGGTAGATACCTAGAATTGGAATTTCTGGATCATATAATAAGTCTATGTTTAACTTTTTAAAAAAATATATTTCTTTATTGATTTTAGAGAGGAAGGGAGAAGAAGAGAGAGAGAAACATCAATGAGAGAGAATCATTGATCAGCTGCCTCCTGCACGCCCCCAACTGGGGATCGAGCCTGAAACCCAGGCATGTGCCCTTGGCCAGAATTGAACCTGGGACCCTTCAGTCCGCAGGCTGATGCTCTGTCCATTGAGCCAAGCCAGCTAGGGCTATGTTTAACTTTTTAAGAAATTGCCTGACTTTCCCAAAGTGGCTGCACCATTTCATATTCCCACCGGCAATGTATAAGGGTCCCAATTTCTCCATATCCTCGCTAACACTATTATCTATCTTTTTTATTCTAGGCATTCTAGTGGGTGAGTGGTATCTTATGGTTTTGACTTGCATTTACCTGGTGACTGATGATATTGTCTTTTCACATACTTATTGATCATTTGTATATCTAATTTGGAGAAACAGCTATTCAAATCCTTTGCCTATTTAAAAAAAATACTTTTTATAATAATTTTGACTTCCCCTTACTCCACCCCCAACATACACACACTCACAGCCTCCCCACTATCAACATCCCTCAGCAGAGTGACACATTGTTATAATCAATGAACCTACACTGACACATCATTGTCACCCAAAGTTCACAATTTACATTAGGGTTCACTCTAGGGGTCTGAGCATGTATAATGGCATGTACCCACCTCTACAGTATCATATAGAATGGTTTCACTGCCCTAAAAACCCTCGGTGCTGCACCTATTCATCCCTTTCTCCTCCCAGCCTCTGGCAGCCAATGATCTTTTCACTGTCTCAATAGTTTTGCCTTTACCAGAATGTCATATAGCTGGAATCACACAGTATGTACCCTTTTCAGAATTGCTCTTTCACTTAGGTATATCCATTTAAGTTTCCTTCATGTCTTTTCATGGCTTGCTAGCTCATTTCTTTCTAGCACTGAAGAATATCTTAATGTCTGCACATGCCACTGTTTATTTATTCATTCACCTCCTAAAGGACTTCTTGGTTGCTTCCAAGTTCTGGCAATTATGAATATAAACATCCATGTGCAGATTTTCTGTGGATATAAGTTTTCAATTAATTGGGTAATACCAAGCAGTGTGATTGCTGGGTCATATGTTCAGAGTATGTTTAGTTTTGCCCGGCCGGCATGGCTCAGTGGTAGAGCACCAACCTATGAACCAAGAAGTCATGGTTGAGGGTTTGATCTCCAGTGTGGGGCATGCAGGAGGCAGCCAATCAATGATTCTCTCTCATCATTCATGTTTTGGTCTCTCCCTCTCTTTCCCCTCTGAAATCAATAAAAATATACTTAATAATAAAAAAAGAGTATGTTTACTTTTGTGAGAAACTGCCAGACTGTCTTCCAAAGTGGCTGGATGATTTTGCATTCTCACCAGCAATGAATGAGAGCTCCTGCTACTTCACATGCTCATAAGCACTTGGTGTCACCTTTGCTCATTTGTGTGTGTTTTTTAAGAGCAAGAGAGAGAAACATTGATTTGTTGTTCCAATTATTTATGCCTTCGTCGGTTGCTTCTTGTATGTATCCTGACCGGGAATCAAACTGTGACCTTGTGGTTCATGGTCGACGCTCAACCACTAAGCAACACTGGCCCAGCACCTTTGCTCGTTTTTATTTTATTTTATTTATTTTTTATTTTTTTTACCTTTGCTCATTTTTAATTGAGCTATTTGTCTTTTTATTACTGAGTTGTAAGAGCCTTTTACATATTCTAGATACAAGCCCCTTATGGAATATGTGATCTGCAGATATTTTATCCCAGCTTGTGGTTTTAGAAGCCTTTTATTGTTTTAATGAAAAGGAATATTAACATTAATATTCATGACAGTGGTTACACCTAGAGGAGGCAGGAGCATGGACTAAGGTACACAGGTAGGCATCCTATCGGTGCTATGAGAGGTAGAGCACAGGCTCTGGAGCCACTACCTAGGTCTCAACCCAATGCTGTTAAGTAAGTAACTTAGTCTGTGTCTCAGTTTTCTCATCTGTAAAATGGGTTCAACAACACTCACCTCACAGGTGTGTTGTGAGGCTTAAGCGAGTTAATGCGCCTGGAGAACTTAAAACAATGGTTACCAGTTATACAGTGTACTTTATGGAAACCTTGATGACTACCAATTCTTCAGTTGGGACCTGGGGTTCCTAAGTTTTCGTTTTATTATCATGCTTTATCATTTATATGTCACATGCTTTCTTTTGTCTAGCTCATTTAAATGTACAAATAAATTTTAAAATAAAAGGAGAATAAAGTATCCACATTTTTAACCCTTTAAAATGAGAAAGAGTGGGCTAGATGCAGGGCCATCCCCCATGCTGGTCCGGGGCCCAGAGCTCAGCTCAGCCCGGCCCCTGCTCCTTCCACGATGCTCACAAGGTGCCTGACCCTGAACCCCGGGCAGGAGGTGGGGTGGGAGGCCTAACGCAGCGAGTGGCCTTGCCTCCGCCCGCCTCGGTTTCCTCGCCTGTGAAACGGGACGCTAACCACCCACCTGATCCAGGAGGTTAAAGAGGCCAGGCCCCTGCGCAGGCCCCGCCGGTACTGTTTGCCATTTTCCCTTCACACTTCTAGCCCCTTCATGCCCAGAGAGAACCTCGGCAGGAAAATGCCAGAAAAGAGAGAGACCCGGAAAGGACAACCTAAGGCTCCTCCAGCTCCAAAATTCTGCGCTGTGTTTCACAGAAGTCCACAGTTTGGGATGCAAACGTCCTTGTCGAACGTGGGACTGAAGGTAGAACCTACCTCCCCGGGCTGTGGAGAAGCGTCGAGAAACACAGGCCAGGAAAGCGCTTTCACATCTGTATCGCACTTCGAAAGAGTTGACTCATGGGGGTAAAAAGCTGCAGAAAAAGTGGCCCCACAGAAGGGCCAAGCCGGCGCCACAGCAGTCCAGGCGCCATTGTCTGCTTCAGCCGCCACCTCGGACCCGCGGCCGCGGGAGCCGACCCGGGAAGCACTGCGAGGCCAGCGCGCCCCCCGCGCCCCCGGGCGAGCGCCGCGTCGCTGGGAGACCAGGCAGCTCGGCGGCACACGACCAGGCTGGAGACCGAGTGCCCCCTGGCGGCGCCGTCGGGCGACCGTTAGGACGTCCAGCCGACAAGTTCGCGTTTCTGCTGATGAGCGTGAGCAGCCACCAACCGATTTCCTTCCACCCAGAGATACAGGTCTCCTGACCAATCAGAGAGCCCTACAGCCGCCCTCCCGCCCATCCATAGAATTTAGGGGCGTGGCCTTCAATTTTAGCCAATAAGCAAAGACGTTCGTCCTTCGCCGCACTAGCGGGTGGAAAGGGGGCGGGGTTGGGGGGGTGGTTACTTTAGCAAGATGGCGGCGAGCGGCGTCCGCCGGGCGGCTGCTGCGGCCAGCACCTCGGTGAAGCCCATTTTCAGTCGGGACATGAACGAGGCCAAGCGGAGGGTGCGCGAGCTCTACCGCGCCTGGTATCGGGAGGTGCCGACCACTGGTGAGAGGCATCGGCGTGCGCGGGGCACCGGAGGCGGCCGCTCAAGGTCGCAGCCCTCCCGGCCTCTGATTTCTCTCGGGCCTGGCAGAGGCGCCCCCACGTGTTTCAGGGGAGGAGGGTCACCGAGCCTGGGTGGACCCGACCTGGCGGTGGCGCCGGGATCAGACCAACTGTGCCCAGCATCCCTACCGCGCTCCTAGGCGCCCTCGGCGCTTTGGCTCC